ATGTTGAGCTTCAGACAATTTTTTGCACTCTCCTCTTTCACCCTCATTAAGAGGTTCTTTAATTACTCCTCACTTTCTGCCACCAGAGTGGTATCATCTACATATCTGAGGTTGTTGATATTTCTTCTGGCAATCTTAATTAAAGTTTGGGATTCCTCCAGTCCAGCCTTTCGCATGAAGTATTCTGCATATAGGTTAAATAGGCAGGGGGACAATATACAGCCTTGTCGTAATCCTTTTGAACCAATTTTGAACCAATCAGTTCTTCTGTATCCAGTTCTAACTGTTGCTTCCTGTCCCACATATAGGTTTCTCATAGGTTTCTCAGGAGATAGACAAGGTGGTCAGGCACTCCCATTTCTTTAAGGACCTGCCATAGTTTGTTGTGGTCCACACAGTTAAAGGCTTTTGTGTAGTCAATGAAGCAGAAATAGATGTTTTTCTGGAACTCTCTGGCTTTCTCCATAATCCAGTGCATGTTAGCAATTTGGTCTGTAGTTCCTCTGCCCCTCTGAAATCCAGTTTGTACTTCTGGGACTATAAATAGACTATAAATATAAAGTCTATAAACTTGTTAGTCATCACTATCAAGTTATGAAAATTATAAATACTTTGGAATACTAGAAAAAGTTACATCTTGCACACAAAAGTTAAAGATCTAACCTCAAAGAAAGGAAAATCTTAAAATCACATTTGAATGGTGGAAATACTATCAAAGCCATAAACACATTGGCAGTTCCAACAATTAAATACCTAGCTGGAATAATAGATTGGACCCAAAATGAATTGGGACATGGTGGCACTGCGGGTTAAACCACAGAAGCTTCTGTACTACAAGGTCAGAAGACCAGAAGTCGGAAGATCGAATTCATACGACGGAGTGAGCTCCTGCCGCTTGTCCCAGCTCCTGCCAACTTAGCAGTTCAGAATCATGTAAAAATGTGAGTAGATAAATAGGTACCACCTCAGTGGGAAGGTAACGGCGTTCCGTCTCTAGTCAAGCTGGCCACATGACCCCTTGGTGTATGTTTATGGACAAACGCTGGCTCTACGGCTTGGAGACAGGGATGAACACCGCGCCCTAGAGTCAGACACAACTGGACTTAATGTCAAGGGGAATCTTTACCTTTACCTTTAAATTGAATTAAAATAATTGAGTCAAAAACATGGAAACTAATGAACATGCATCATGCACTACATCCAAACAGTGATGTGGACAGATTATATTTACCGTGAAAAATTGAAGGCTGTGAGCTATACTGCAGATACATCAGGTAGTAGAGGAGGAAAAAAGAAGATTAAATGATTATATTAGTACAAGTAGAGAATTATATTAGAGAATTATATTAGTACAAGTATAGAAAAATTAAGGTGGTTAAAATGGAGAATATTTTGAAAACAAAAGAAACAAAGACTCAATATAAAAAAAATTGAAATAAATTAAACGATTTGAAAAAATAAACCACTACATGGACGACACCCAAGAAATACTGTTGGAAAGCATGATCATAATTCAACATGGGCATGGCTAAAACTGGGGACTCTTAGGAAAGAAACTGAGGGCTAGATTTTTGCTGCACAAGAACAAGCACTCCAAACCAATGTGATGAAAACTAAGATCCAAGGAATTAGTGCTTACAGCTGTCACAATCATGGGATATGTAGTTGGAAAGTGTGTCATGATGATGGAATATGTAGTCAGAGAAATATAAAATGGGAGTCAGAATGGTTCTGTGTAGAGATGATTTGAAGGACTTTTGAATGTGTTTTTCTTAAGCACCATGAGAATGGTTTCCTGTGACTGTTACAAAAAAAAAACATTGAGAATGGTTTCCTGTGACTGTTACAAAAACATGAAGGCCATGTCGAGAGGCCTATAGAAGACTCAACATTCCAAGCCTATTACAGAAGACAAGCAACACCTGCACTCTCATGGGAGTGAGAGATGGAGAGAGGTGGTACAACCTCCAAAAAATAAATTGGTTAACAGCTAGAGGGGGCCAAGAAAAAGGGAGGAGCTAGGAAAGTAGAAAAGGGAAGATGGGTTATGTGTACTGCGTTCACTTGTGTGCCATTGTGTTCAATGATTCCTGATGATGGATGCTGTCTTGATGATGGTATGAGCATGTAGCTTGAAAGAGTGAGGATGTAAGTAAAGGAGAAAGCAGGAGGTGGAGGCATAGCCCACTATAGCCCTCCATAGTCTCTATAGTTCAGTTTAGTAGTTTATTATTTTAAATGGGAAATAGGTATTTTATTTAACTGCAATAATCTTTGAATATGTTCTTGAATGCTACTGCTTTTGCAATATAAACTGATTTTACTATGAAACTCTATTTTTCTCATAAAAAATTAATCTTTAAAAATCCTTATTGAGGACTGGTCTCTTGAACAGCAAGATCTGGCTAATTCCAGTAGTGAAGAGGGCCACAGATTTGCTATCATTTAAGAGTCCTACTTCACTGAGCTGTTGTGAGTTCTAAGGAATCACAAAGTCCAGGTGTCTGTACTTCCTAAGTGCTAAGCAAGTGCAATGTGTTCTTTTTTAGGTTAGACTTGATCAAAGGGGTTATGCTACACACTGCTGAGGTCTAGGGACTCGATCCAGCATGAAAATGATAGATAAGTGCCAGCGAACTCTCTCACCGAACGCACCATGACCCTTTAGTGGACTGGGAGCATCACAATAGCAAATGCCGATTCAGCCAAGAAAAAGATGAAACTGTATCACACCTCATCTGCAAATGCTCAGAGATTGCATAAACAGATTACAAAGTTAGACATGACAGAGTGGCAAAATTAACGCACTGGTCCTTATGCAAAACATTTAATGTGCCAACCTCCAAAAACCGATGAGAACATCAGGTAGAGAAGGTGTCATAAAATGAAGGAGTCAAGATCTTGTGGCATTTCTGGTCCAAACTGACAGAAACCTTGAACATAACACACTGGACATATAAGTACCCTATTTCCCCGAAAATAAGACCTAACCTGAAAATAAGCCCTAGTAAGATTTTTGGGATGATCGTAATATAAGCCATAACACTCCCCATAAGACCCAATTAAGTGAAACCCCCCTTTCCACTATTGTGGAGCAACCAGAGGAAGATGACATGACTGTATTTGAATAAATATAGATTGTTGTACATGAAAAAAAATCCCCTGAAAATAAGCCCTAATCGTTTTTGGAGTAAAAATTAATATAAGACCCTGTCTTATTTTCAGGGAAACAGTAACAGAATGAAGAAATTGATAGATCATTGACACTGCAAATTCCAGGTGATGCTGGAGTTGAAAATAAAGAATTGGAAAAACTAACAAAATACAGAGCCCTGGCAATCGAAACATCTCACTTGTGGATGAAACACACTTCAGCCATCCCCTTTGTCATCGGGGCTTTGGTAACAATATCAAGAAATTTCACACATAATTTCATACTATAAGCAGTTGCAGATCTCAGAAATCATACTGTCAGAGCTACAAAAACCAGCAATATTAGGAACAGCATACATACTGTGCCGATATTTAATAGGTACTTAGGTTTTTGAGTAAAACTTGTATCTATTATATAATACTAGTTAATGTTTTTATAATTTTGATAGAAGTGTCTGGTGTTTTTGAATAATAATAATAAACTGAGGGTGTTTATTAATAAGTAGTCGGTGGACTAGGAGAAGGAGAAAAAGAACCATTATGTGTTATTTCGAATAATTCTTTTAAACAAAAAAATTGAGTCCATGCCTGTTGGTGGAAAAAAAAAGAATCTTGTAAAAAAGATGACGGGAGATAATGTGAACCTCACAAGGTGAAAGATTTAAATGAAGCCTCCAGGGTAAAAATCATTTGAAAAACAGGCAACTAACAAAACACAATTAGGATGAGGCAAAGGGCAAGTGAAACAGGTGCCCTTGGAGTTTTCTCCTTCTCTGTGGGCACTAGAACCAAAAGAAGGGAAAATAAATCCAAATGGTGACAAAAAGATCACGTGGGGACCCCTTTTTTTTTTTTTAGGAAAACCTCTGAGAAAGAAAGAGGAAGATTTCAGGGGCAGCCTGTGGCCCAAAAGGGAAGGGTTGCCTTATCCATTCATTCCAGTGGCTTCAGGTACATTTCTCTGTATTATCTCTCTAAACAGCGACGTCTACGTTGGCTTGGGCATGTTGTGAGAATGGCTGATGGTCAGATTCCAAAGGATCTCCTGTACAGAGAATTAGTGCAGGGAAATCGCGCCCGAGGCAGACCACAGCTGCGATACAAGGGTATCTGCAAGCGGGATCTGAAGGCCTTAGGAAAGGACTCAACAGATGGGAAACCTTGACATCTGAGCATTCAGCCTGGAGGCAAGCGGTGCATTACGGCCTCTTCCAATTTGAAGAGACCCTTGTCCAGCAGGCTGAGGCAAAGAGGAAGTCCCGAAAGCAGCAAAATCAGGGAGCTGGACAGGGGGCGGATTTTATTTGTCTTCACCGTGGAAGGGAATTGTCACTCTTGAGTCGGCCTCCTCAGCCACACTGGAGGCTGTTCCAGGTCCTCCATACAGAGTACGTTACCACAGTCTTTCGAGACTGAAGGATGCCTAACTAACTAAAGATATGTGAAAGTTATTCAAGTAAACATAACCCTGTATTTCTTTCTTTCCCTTTAATATTCTGGCTTGGATGAGGACAAAGTTTGCTATGCTTGGTTCTTTGCCAGAATGACTGATAGGGACATAGGCTACCTTTTCACATCAGATTCAGTGGGACGTGTGTCTGACTAGGTTACGGTGCAACCTGCTCACGCAGAACATCCCTCTGAGTTCAAGAACACTTTCTCCCAGACAAATTTAGATGTTGGAGTGGACTTCCAGCCCAGGATGCCTCCTCCATGAGGCAGGAGAAGAGCTCAGAACCGTCTTTATTGTGATGGCTTTTGTTTTGCAACAGAGGGCGCAATTAGTGCCATGTGCCTTCATCTAGATTGCTCAGATAATAAAAATAAAGAAGAAAAAAGGGAAAGGGGAAAAAGCAGACCAAAAATGTTAAAACATAAAACAGCACAACAAAAGAACCACGAGTACAAGAACAAACAGGCGTACCAACCATTGCAGTTGAAAAAAGGGAGCCCCTGTCCAGATAAAAAGCCACACAGAGTTGGCATCGGTAGGCCATGCTTTCCAATCCCAAAAGGTTTTTCTTCAGGCCACAGAATAACAGGCCCTGGTCTTTCTGAGGTTGCAGTTTAGTTCCTGAAGGCAGGCAAGGCTATGAGATTGTTTAGGACTTCACTACAGCAGCTTCCTTGGCTTTGAGAAGAGTTTGAATTATTGTATCAACATCCACTAGAGCAGAGGCAAACTCTCGGGGGGGGGGGAATAACTTATCTAAAATTTAGAGTTTCTTAGAATTCCTTCACTCCTGGCTCAGATTCCTTCACACTTTTGCAGTGCAGTTGTATTGTCTCACCCGTATTTCACACTCCCCTTACCTCCATTGGAGCCGATTTTCCTCTGTTTCCATTTCTTTTCCTGGCATTTCCTGACTTCGAGTTTATCTTATGATTCACGTGTCCACAAGACATGTCAAGAAAGAGGAAGCCCATGTTATACAGTGATTTCATTCATCATGGAAACAGTCAGGAACACATAGCTGGGAACACCACAGTTTGTGCAGAGAACACCATTGGCATGATAGCCTGTACTGCTCATTATTCTCCTTACATTTTTATCAAGCACTCTTAAAATTGGCTAGCATTAAAAGTGTTGCATTATTTGGATCTTGAAGGGCAGATGAACTCTTTTGGAACTGCATCGTTTTTGGCTGCAGAAAAGCCCGGAATACTGACTGAGAACACGGTTACCCTTTCTGCTAGACCTGGTAGCCTTTAACACAGATATATTCACTGCCCTGTTGGTTCTAAACCGGATTTAGGCAACCTCTCTGGGAAAACCTGGAATCTAGGCAAAGTCTATTTATTCACCTGGGCTCAACCCCCCACCCCCCAAATTATTTCCTAAGTTCACTCTACCACATGTGATGATCCTTTGGAATAGATCAATGCAGGAGGTGCACCTACCCATTCAACTTGCAGTCCAGCGCTACCATAGTTCCATCACCCTCTGAATCTACCATATCTGACAAGCTGCCTATCGTAAATCCAGGAAAGACTTTGGAAATGAACAAGAATATCTCTGTTGTGTTTCTGTTGCTCCAAAAGTCCAGTCCGTAAGCAGGACCTCTCTTGCCATCCAGCTCAATGTTTTAACTAAGGGCAATATTTGAAAAGAAGTGTACAGAACAAGGAAAGGCAGGACTCGGCAATGCGCTACCTTTCAAATTTGTGACTCAAAAAAGAAACCATGTTGGGGTGTCAAGTTCCCTGGGTCCCACTATACTGTATTTTTCCGTGTATAAGATGCCTCCATGTACAAGATGCCCCCCACTTTTCCAACCCAAAATTAAGAAATCTAAGTGGGGCTTATCAAGTGGAGGGGAAAGTAGGGATCAAAGCCCTGCAGGATCACTTTGATCCCTGCTTTCCCCTCCACTTATTTTTGTTCTTTCCTCAGCTTCCTTCCATGTATAAGACGGCCCTCAATTTTTAGTCTAAAGATTTTAGAAAAAGGAATAGTCTTATACATGGAAAAATATGGTATATTGATTCCCCCAGTCCACTACTTGAAGCTAAATGGAGCTTATGAAGTACCTTTTTTGATTGTAAGTATTTCTTCAAGATGGGAGAGTGGAAGTGATCCTGTGAAGTGCAGGGATGGGCATGTGTAGTCCCTGACACTTAAAAAGAAAAATTGGGTGACAAGCCACCTCTGACTTATGATGGCCCTTTTCAGGGATTTCTAGGTATACAATGGTCAGAAGTGATTCAGCTTTCCCTTCTTTCTGGGGTGCTCTGGGATTGCCCAGCTTGCCCAAAGCCACTCAGTCTGGTACTTTTCTCAGGGGCCCAGAAGGGAATCCAACTCCTGGCCAGATGTGCCAGATTCCTGAACTCACTGAGCTACATAGTGAGCATCAGAAAACACCTTGAGAGCAATTAAGGGCCTGTCACGCAGCCAAAAACACACACCCTACGAGCTGACCTGTGTTAAAAACTGTGCTGCGTTTCATGTTCACATAATGAATCCCAAAGTGTATATTTATTTTCCTGTAACTCAGTTTAAGCAGATTGCCTTCTTAAGGCATGACGTTAAAGAGTTAAAATGAAACTTGAAGGTAAAAACCTTTTTAAGAAACGGGCTGCTTACAAAACATAGTAAGGATGAAGCAAAAGACAACAAGGGAAACAAATACAGCTAGAACGCTCAGCTTCTCTGTGTGCACGAAACCAAGAGGGGAAAGAAACCCAAATGGAGAAAAGCACATGGGAACCCCTTTATGGGGGAACTTCTGAGAAAAGGGGTAGATTTCAGGGGCAAGCCTATGATCTGAGTGGCAGAGGATACCTCAGCCCATTTTTCAGGGCTACAAGTAGTACATTTCTCTGTCTTTTAAAATTGCTTAGTATTGCAAGGTTGCTGATATCTTTCTTTATAATATACAGTCGTGCCCCGCTAGACGATTACCCCGTATAATGACAAATCCACTTCATGACAATGTTTTTGCGATTGCTTTCGCGATTGCAAAATGATGTTTTAAAGGTTTTTTTTCGCTTGAAAGGATATCAGGCAAAATCCAAAGAAACAAAACAAAACAACAAAAACCTGTGGCACCTTAACCATTATATTTTAATATAAGCTTTCGTGGATACCTCCACTTCATCAGACATTAAGAGACAGAATGAAATGAAATACACTTATACATTTCATGCAGTTCATTCTGTTTCTTTATGCCTGACTAAGTGGACATGTCCATGAAAACTTACATTAAATATAATGGCTAGTCTTTAAGGTGCAACAAGTTTTTGTCTCTTTTTTTGGTCTTGCCTTGTTTTATTTCTTTGGATTTTGCCTGATATCCTTGCACGGACTAACAGGGCTACCTCTTCAAAGCTGTCTGCCATCCTTGTATCTCTTCTCTCAATATCATTGCCACCTTTTATTGTTCTATATTGTTTCCATCATTTTATCTCTTCTCTCTATATCGTTTCCACCTTCATTCTCTCCTGGTCAGATAGGGTCCTTCCAAGGCGGTTATTCAGCATTAATAATCTAGAGTTTCTCTTGGATTTTTTTAAACTTCTGGAAGAGATTGCTTGTTTCCCCCCGTATATTGTTCTCTTCTCTTCTCTGTGGTTTTTATTTTCCTTTTTAAAAACCTATGTGGAGTTACCAAAGTAAATATAACATCGTCTTTCTTTATTTCCATTTATATAATCTGGCTTCGACCCACGTAAAGTTAGCCATGCTTTGTTCTTGCTGGAGAGGTATATAACTTTTCACAGTTATTTCGGGGAAAGGATGGCTGAAAATTTGCTTACCGTAGAATCCAATGCTGGTTCACTCAGAACCACACTCCAATGAGTTCAACAAGAACTCTTTCTAGGTAACTGGTTATAGTGTAGCTGGACTTTGCCAGATTTGACCCATTTTGTTTGGAGGTTTTTGACAACCTCCATCCAGAAATGGCTCCTCCATAAGATGAGGGAACAGCCTTCCTCAGAGGGCAAATCAACCTCTCCCTCTCTGCTGCACAGAAGGGTGGTTCTCTTTCTGTCTCCTTGGCGCTGCAAGAATTGCCTGCCCATCCCTCAAGGATTGCTGCTCTCCTCTGCTATGAGAACATTTTGGGTCCTGTGGGATACCTGAGGGGAACAATTACCTGGCTTCAACTCAGAACGGCCTTCCAGATGAAGGATTTTGTTTTCCAAGAGAGGCTTCAGTCGGTGCCATGTGTCATCATCTAGATCATTCAGATAATTTTAAAGGTCTTCACATATTAAGAAGAAGATGATAAGGGGGAAACAAACAAAAATGTTTAATCACAAAACAGAACAAACAAACAAACAAACCACCAATACACCAACAAAAAGGCATACCAACCCACTTCAGTTTTTTTTTTTTTAAAAAGGACCCCCATCCAGATAAAAAGCCACACAGAGTTGACATCTGAAGGCCAAGCTTTCCACTCCCAAAAGGGTTGCCCAAGGCCTTCGGTCCAATGAAGAACAGGCCCCTGGTCTTCCTGAGGACCAAAAGTTATATTTTTACAAAGAGCATTTCTGCTCAGTAAAATTACAACAGGGAAAGACAGGCAGGTGAGATGAATGAGTTTAATTCTCCTTGAGAAACAATGTGTGCCTCTGAGTAAGATCAGTATAAAAGAAGCAGTAGCAGTAAGAACAAAAATGTGACCAAGGAGGCCAGCAGGAGACAGGAAGAAAGAAGGAAGCAGCAACAGAGGAAAGAGTGGCAGAACGAAGCAACAGAATGAAGATATACTGCCAGATGAAGTGAGAGGAGTCAACATGGATATTTCCTCATAGGTGAGAGGAAAACAGAAAAGAAACAAAGGATTTATGAGCCCTGAAATTACAGAGGCTACAAGCAATTAATATAAGAGCAATAAGCAATGAAATGCTATTATATTTTTGGACTATGTAAAAAGAAATATTTAACTCACATGAGTAAAATGTGAATCATGCTTTTGTAGAATAAATTGACTTTATTCAAGTTAAGACTCTCTGCTGTGCAATCATGCACTTAAATATATACAAAGGGGACTACAAATCCAATCAGGGGCTGCCCCTGAAGGCAAGCAAAAGCAATGGGGTTGTTTAGGACTTCCCTACAGTAGCTTCTTGGGCTTTAAGAGTTGGAGTTACTGCACTCCTCTCACAATCCACTAGAAGGCAGTCAAAGTCTAGAAAAAAAGATACCTTATTACAGAGGAGCACAAACCAAACCATGAACCACAAAACCTGACAAATTGGACGGTTCCTGGTTCGGTTTGCCAACCCAGTGAAGGAATCCAATTTTGGCAAAGCCCCAAACTTTTTTCCCTTTGCCATTTCATTTGTTTCCACAAAATGGATGCCCACCTGCTCCTTACCACTGCCCTTGTCACCTCCACCGACCTGCCCTTGCCCCTGCTGCCTTTGCCACCATCGCCACCACCGTCAGAGGCAGTGGGCCAATTTCCCTTCCTGCAACCTCTACGCATGTGTCCACCTATCGCCTGAGCAGCGAGCACATGTGCACTGGCTCTGAGAAGGGAAGCCGGCTTGCTGGCTCTAAAAGTTTCCCTGCACAAACTAAAAAAAAACAAAACCCTGAACCATAATGAACCAGTTTCCTAGGTGCCCATCTATAGACCTTATCCAAAATTTAGAGTTACTAAGAATCTCTTCATCCCCGGATCAGATTCCTTCACACCATCACTGTGCAGTTGCATTATCTCTCCCGTATTTCACACTCCCCTTACCTTCTAGGTCTCTGAAGCGCAGTTCCTCCTGATCCCTCCTTTTGTTCAGGTGGTTCTGGAAATTATTGACTTCATCTTAAGAGGCACGTGTTCAAAAAACATGTCAAGAAAGAGGACAAACACATTATACAGTGATTTCACTCGTGGAAACAGTCATGAACACTCAACTGAAAGCTCCACAGATTCTGCAGAGAATGTCATTGGCCTCACAGCCTCGACTGTTCATTATTCTCTTTACATTTCTATCATGTACTTTTACAAGAAATGACTAACGTTAAAAATGTATTACTTTGATCTCGAATGGCAGATGAGCTGTTTTGGATCTGCATGTTTTGTTGCTGCGGAAAAGCAGCCCATTCATCTTGCAATCCAAGCCTAAACTTTCCTATGTAGAAGCACCAGAGAAAAGAGTGAAGTACATTCAGGTGCAGCAGAAAGAAAAATATCTCCTGTGCTGCCTACGAGGACAGGAACCCCAAATCCATTACTATGGCTTGACTTTTAAAGGCCATGCAAAATAAATAAATAAACCACATGGGTTTGTGCTCAGGGCCAACCCTCCTGGGGAGCCTCCTTCACGTCCCATGCTCTGGACCAAGATAAGCCCTACAGCACCTTCAAACCTATTCCAAAAAATCAGAGTCAAGGAAACAGACAAGCATGATGGTTGTTGTGGGTTTTTCGGGCTCTTTGGCTGTTCTTCCTGACGTTTCACCAGTCTCTGGGGCCGGCATCTTCAAAGGACTGGAGTAGGAACTCTGTCCGTGCTCTGTTGCTGTTTGTTGGACAGTTGAGTATTTACAGCTGTGGGAACAGCTTTTGTCTTTTTTTTTTCAGGAGACAGGGTGATCAACTGTATACTGTAGTGAACGTCCCAACTACTTTTAGAGGTACTGATTTATTTCCTCGTATTTGATTAGTTTCACGGCTACATCGTGGTACCAATTTCACCCTCTAGGTGACATACTTTTACCAATGTATCGATGTATCAGGCACAAAAAAATTTAAAGTATCAATATGTGTCCCGCAGTAATGGCGGCCACCGTCCTGTCTTTGATTCTAAAGAGGCACAGAGGCAAACCCAGTGCAACAGAGGTATAGAGTAAAACAGCCCTCCTGGTGATGGGGAAATGTTCTGCAGTTACACCGCTGACCGGGAAAATATCTCGATCTTCATTGTGCATCGTATGACTGGGGGGGAAAAGGCAACAAACTAACTGGGGGATAATTAGAGAACATTTCCCATGTGTGACCAGGACCAAAGATAAAAATTACGTCTACAGTATGTCTCAGAAGGAAAAAAAAAGTTAGTGGAAAGGCATGGAGGTTGTTTCAGTCTGTCACTGTTTTTATCAAGAAAAGGATTTTGTCCTTGAGGTGGCAGGAAAAAAAATTAGAACAATCATCTCAGAACCAGGTACTTTTACAGGAACTAATGCTCCCTCTGGATGAGACCCAAACTGTTTTTTGCTGTTTCTGGGCAGAGAAGATGCAATTACCTGTCTCATCCCTCGATTCTTCATTCTGGAGAAAGTTGGAGTTGCTATTGAAATGAAGCATTTCTATTGAAAAATCCATCTTTCCTTTATTAAGATGCTGGGCTACATATTGCTGAAGACTTCCCACCACACACACACACGTAGGGAAGAAAACCACACTTGTGGAACATCCAGTTTTCACTCCCCTGGAATGAAAAACAAAGCCATAAAAGAAGGAAAGGCTAAAAAAGTGTTCAGGGCAGCTTCTTCTTGAGGAGAGCAGACTGGGGACCACTGCACACAGGGCCACACATACGAAGAAGGGATGGCAACCACACTGAGCAACAACACTCTGTAGTGGTTGGCATCTCCTGGTGAGATGAAGGATGGGGGGGGGAGGTCACAGGAGTTGGCATGAGGAGGGGAATCTGTCACCCTTCCTTGAAAGGCAGCATCAATCTCCCAACCAGGAAAAAGCATAAAACTCCTCAGATCTCCCCAAGCCTGAAATGTCTTGCTCTGAAGCACCCCTAGCACTGCGGGTGGGATGTCCAGAGAGGTCTCTTGGGCCACCAGGGGACAGGCAATCTTCCACTGATAAGGCTTGACACTCGGGAAACAGCCATGTAAGGCACCTTATATATAACCAGTGCTTCCTCCCACTGGACACACCCACCCAGAATGGAAACAGGGGCACAGCCACACGTCTTCACTACTGCTTTTCAGATGAGATATAGAGAAGAATAAAGGGGGAAGCTGGTTGCATAATTTAAAATTGCATGCCTTCAAGTCAATTCCAACTTATGGCGACCCGTTCCAAGATTTTCTAGATAGCGAATACACAGAGATGATTTACCATTCCACCTCCTACGGGCATCCTACGGGACTGTACAGCTTGCCCATGATTACAGAAGCTGGCTCTTCTCCCAGGAGGCACAGTGGAGAATCAAACTCCTAACCCTTAGCTTCACAGCCGGATGCCAGCCAGCTACCTGGTTGCATACATTGGTGGATATTGAAAAGCCAGGAAAGGTACATTTGTCATACAAGGTTAGATCCCATTTGCTTTTCATTTACTTTCTTTACTAGGGTTTTCTGCCTAAATGTGTTCTTTAGCCAGCCAGTCACTACCATCAAGCCATTTGCCCTCTTCCACTGGCTGGCTTCTGCTCTGCTTTTGCAGATGTCCTTTGTCCAAGGCTGCAGCTGCTATGCTTCCTTATCCCTCCCCCCTTTTGTTGCTGTTCTTCTCCTACCAAAGTTCTTCTCCTACCACTGAACAACAGTGATGTGTTGTATTGAGACCAATTTCTAATTTTTCAGCCATGAAATTCAACTCCTCGGCATAAGGATACTGTTTGTTCTCATCTAGTTCTTTATTGATGGCAGACACTGGTTTAGAACAGGAACAGCTTCCATGGAATTAGATGGAAAGGAGAGATTGAGATGGCTGTTGTTGACATACTAGTGACACTGAACTTCAAAACCCCTGAACAACTTCTTTCAGTGGTTTCATGTTTATGCTAAATAGCATGATGGAGAGATTGAGATGGCTGTTGTTGACATATTAGTGACAATGAACTTCAAAACTCTGGACAACTTCTTTCAGTGGTTTCATGTGTATGCTAAATAGCATAAGGACAAAACAGAGTCCTGAGGGACACCACAGTCCAACAGCTAGGGCAATGAACAGGCCACCACCACATTCTGGGTTTTTCTCTCCAGGAGGTACTGGATATCTCCAAATCTCATTCCAGAGAGAACATATTAGTGACAATGAACTTCAAAACTCTGGACAACTTCTTTCAGTGGTTTCATGTGTATGCTAAATAGCATAAGGACAAAACAGAGTCCTGAGGGACACCACAGTCCAACAGCTAGGGCAATGAACAGGCCACCACCACATTCTGGGTTTTTCTCTCCAGGAGGTACTGGATATCTCCAAATCTCATTCCAGAGAGACAGCTCAGAAGATACCATGCTCAATAGTACAGTGGGGTCTTGACTTGAGAACTTAATCCGTATTGGAAGGCGGTTCTCAAGTCAAATCTGCATTTCCCATAGGAATGCATTTCCATGGAATTAGATGGAAAGGAGAGATTGAGATGGCTGTTGTTGACATATTAGTGACAATGAACTTCAAAACTCTGGACAACTTCTTTCAGTGGTTTCATGTGTATGCTAAATAGCATAAGGACAAAACAGAGTCCTGAGGGACACCACAGTCCAACAGCCAGGGCAATGAACAGGCCACCACCACATTCTGGGTTTTTCTCTCCAGGAGGTACTGGATGTCTCCAAATCTCATTCCAGAGAGACAGCTCAGAAGATACCATGCTCAATAGTATCAAAAGAGATCCAACAGAACCAACAAGGGCCCACCCCCCCTGGCTAGTTCTTGGAGTAAATCATCGGCAAAGATAACCAAAGCAGTCTTTGTTCCACAACCTGGTCTGAAGCCAGATTGAAATCAATCTAGACAAACTGTTTCATCCAGGAACTCCTGCAGTTGTGAAGCTTCAGCGCCTTGCCCAAGATCGGAATATTAGAGACCGGCTGGTAATTATTCAGTACTGTGGGATCCAAAGACGTTTTTTTCAACAATGGTCATACAGTAGTATTGCCTCCTTTAAGCATGCTAGGATCCTACCCTATTGCAAGTAGGCATTCACCACTCCTCCTACCCACTTTTTGGCAGCTTTTATAAGCCAGGAAGGTCCACTAGACATGTGGTAGCCCACCTCTCCAAGAGTCCTGTCCACATCCATTAACACTGAGCAAACAGAGGCCACAGTTATATTCACAGGACCTGTATCAATTGCTGCATCCAAGTTAGAGCAGATCTGAGAAATTTTGACTGCAAAGTATTGGCAAATTCTTCACAGCTGGTTCACGAATACACAAGATTGTGCACTGCCAACCAACAAAGCTAAATTTAATTCCATTTTTCAGCTCAAGGAAGGAAAGTGCTCTCAGCTACTTCTGTTTTGATTTTTCTACCATGGCAACGATTCTGTTGTTCATTCAACCAAATTCCAAAATCTTGTATTTGGCACCTTCCTCCACACTCCTGCTTTGATTCTTTAACTGCACTATTTGTGTTTGACTAATTGCCAAAGATATATTAGCAGATGGTATTGTTCTACTCTGGAAATCATTTTCCTTATCTTATTGTGTAGCCAGTGTTCTACTCTAGAAATTATTAATACCTTCTTGTGTAACCTCTGTACATGTACTGTATTGTTTTATTTGTTCAGTTTTACCCAACTTTTACTTTCTTTTTATCTCACCCAATGACAAAAGACCTCTCTTTTTTAACGTTGAAAAAAAAATTGCTCAGATCTACTCTGGCTTGACTTTCATGGTTGAGACAGCCCCAAGAGAAGTAACAATGTCTCATCAATAACTCAATGCAATAAGGAAGAATTACCCTCTCTCTCTCTTGGTCTTCTTTTGGGGCAACCAAAGAATTTCATGTCCTCTTCCCACCAAACCTCCATTTCAAAATCTTACATATTTGCTCTGATTTTTTTAAACAGTAATTAACAAATTAGGTTTTATTTACATGAGAGACACAGTAGAGTCTCCACTCTTAACAGGCCTGGATTAATTCACAAAAGCTTACCTTGAAGAAAGTTAGTCTTTAGGTGGCACCTTATTCTTGTGTTTATTTCTGTCTAACTACAATTACACAGACTACAGTGGCTATTCCTGTGAAAATTCTTACAAGAATATACTAAGAGATATAATATGGAGAACAAAACAATGGCTCATAAACTAGCAATATTTAATATACACATCCGTCTGCTAATATATCCTTCGCATGGAGGAGACGGGAACTCCTGAGGGAAAAGCCACCGGCTGGCCTTTTGGAGATGCAGCGCTTCTAGGTGGCCCTACGTCGGAGGTGACTTGACTCCACCTAACAACAACGGTATAATTTCAGCCTAAAGGACCAATTGGCCCCCTCAGCCACACTAGACGCTGTTCCAAGTCCTCCATACAGAGCACGATACCATAGTCTTTCGAGACTGAAGGATGCCTACACACAAAGCCCCTCCATTTTGGGAGGGGGGGGGCTGAAGCGAGTCTTCTCTGTTCCCACAGCCAGACGGCGAAGGCACCAGCCCAGCACTGAACAAAGCCAGGAAACCGGAGCCCATTCTTGGAGGGGCGGGAGAGAAGCGCCCGCGGAGACAAGGAGAGCGCGCAGGGGGGTTTCCTTTTCTCCGGGGCGGTTTCTTCAGTGAATTTACTGTATAAGACGGCTCTGACCACGAAAGCGCCGCCATTGTTGGACTGTCGTCCCCCCCCCAAGACAAAATCTTCGCTGGGGGGCGATTACCCGCTCGAGCCTCGAGACGCCCTGCGCCCACCCAAAACTCGCGGGCTCGCCCTTGGGAGGCTCCTGCGCCACGCGCGCCCGCGGCAAACTCTGGCCTTCGAGGGTAGCTTCTGTCCCCGCCCAAGCCCTCAGGAAACTCTCCTCTCCTTTTTTCACGCACACCCAGTCTCCCTCCCTCTTGCCCTTCCCTCTCTCTCCCCCCTCCAGCCCTTCCTTCTCCCCCCCCCGCTTTCCCCCTTGACCCTCTAAGGGGAATCGGGGCTCCTTTTCGCTGAGAGACCCGGACTTACCATCCTGGTCGCCGGGACTCGACGCCCAGGGACACCGGGGAGCCGCCAAGCCCTGAGCCGAGGGACCCGGCCACATTCCCATAAGAAGGACTTCTTTCACTTTCGAATCGCAGGGGCTGCGTTTGCCCAAGAAGGAGGGGCAGCGAGGCATAAAGTGCCTGGATTTCTTGACGGACAAATAAGCTCGAAAGAGGAGTTGCAGCTGAAAAATGCCGACTCACGCGAAACTCGATTTTGAGAGGAGCTTTCGCGGGTCAAAGTCCCTTCCTCAGACAACTGTCACCGTGAAGGGGACAACTCCCCTTCCATCGTCCCCCTGCAAGGTCTGGAAGTTGTTCCTCTCTTTTCATGTGGAGAGCCACTTAGTGGCCCCATAAAAGTTTTCTTAAGACGCCACTCGCTGCCCCTCCTCCAGAAAGCCTTCAGCCCTTTCGCTTTTGAGCACCTGGCATTTCCTTTCAACTG